TTACTTTATACTTTTTGTTTGTTTATTGCTTTAATGTATTTAAATGTTCAGTTATTTTGTTATAAGAAAAAAGTTATTAAACCTGTTATGCTGATTTATGACAACACTTTTTTGCAACTAAATTTCAGTATCGTGATAATACCGTATACCGTGATAAAAGCATGAGCAATTAATCGCAACATGAAAATCTGCTACCGGCATATCCCTAGCAGGTAATGAATATGCTAAATGGCATATAAGGTCATCTAGAGATATTTAGCAACTCAAACTGCTTTAGCTACTTCACATGATTCCACACTACTTAGAAATCTAATTGTGCTTAAGCAATGATACGTTTCTCATAACACCAGAGAGTATTAAGCGTATTGACATTAACCAAATGACTGCAAAAGTAAATTTCCAATAACAATCAGAAGCTTGTTCAACAGCATATTTGCTAAAACAACGAGAATGTTCCCAATGATAAACATAAAATCCTGGTAAACAGTAGGTTCCAAATAGTGACCAAATAGCTTTTAAGCAACAGCAGTTTCCAATAAGCTATGGCCAATGAGATCAGAAGACTATAGCAACAGTGTGTACTGAGTAATTAAGCTTAGCAACAAGCGTGTTGCCAATACCTGATCACTTTAAGCATGAGTATGAAAAAGAAACTTGGCTTAACTTCACGAAGACACATTCGGATGAATGGAGAGTGAAGTAGGCTATATCCACATCTGTTGAGGATGATTGATCTTCTTAATGATGTAGTCTACAACTCCATGCAGGGAGGGCCGATCTCGACTGAATTGTTCTTAAGTCACTTCCAAATCAAGCCGCTTATACTGGTCGATGCGGTGAATCGTGTGTTCAAAACACAACCGGAATCTGAAGCAAAAACTGTATGGTCAACATCCTTTAAATCCGTTTGAAAGCTGTCCCGAGTGAGTGTTTGTGATGAACTAGAAGACGGTTAAGCGAGTAACGAATTAGCGTTTAGAAGCTGTCTTGAGCTGAACTAGAAGCGAGTGTTAAACTAAACTAAACTAAAGAACTAAACTGACTCTGCGTTTGTCTGTGTGACAGACTAAAACTGTTTTAGCGTGTGTCTGTGCGACATAACTCAAAGCTGACTAAGCGCATGTCTGTTCGACAGACTATAAGTGTGAATGCTGCAATCATGTGTAACGTCGACCAGAGTGTTTTAGGATTTGCCCAGATGTCAGGAATAAAAGAAGGAAAAGAATACTCATAGACGAGAGAGTTAGTGATCCCATACGTCTTTATACGTAGCTTCAAATGATCCTCGCACTATCCGCATACATGGAGGAGAGTGGGGAGAAAATTAGAAGACACACTTTGGCAGAATTACAAATAAAAATAATAAAAGAATCAGGATGCTTTCTGGAGCAGAGTATAGTAGAACAGTTCGCTATATCACCAGCGCAAACGTTACCCAGGCACACCCACCTAGACAATGCATGACATCACAGGAGGTGCCTTAAAGGTACATAACAAATTAGGTGGCTGTTACAGATCCCCCCCAGGAAAACAAAGGCTGTCCTCAGCCGTGCACAACTGAGTAACAATAGTACCTTACAACCTCATACATGAACAGTTGTAAAGAGTGTCAGATCACATAGGGGCATGTATTGACATGGCAGCAGCTGGCATACATGACAGTACAGTTGAACCAAAATACATATTCTGCAGCGACCCATTTCAATTAAAAGAAAACAGCACCTAACCCATCACAGATGTAAAATGGGATACTTTTTCTGGTTTTTACAACTTTCTTTGTTTTTAACATCAAAACATGTAACATGTCAACAGACAAACTCTGCAGTGTTGAATAGAGAACAATGAGTTTTCACTGGCATGCTTACTGCCTCATTTAAGGTCTAGTCTGTCAGTGTGGTATGTATTTGTCCACCTGTTAGTTGACCACCCAGAGGTGATTCTTGGCGCCAGCCTAGGTCTCAAGTTATAGCAATGCCTGTCAAGATCACAGTCACTGACAGAAAAATTTTTGGTCTTAGAGGTTATGTCGACCTCCTGGTGAGGTAAACAATCAATATTGTCCATATTGTCTGTCAGGTCAAAAGCATCGTCCACCACTGCCTGTCTACAGTCCTCCCTGGCTTCAGGCTCAGCAAACCCTGTGGTAGAAAAGTTGTCATCTTTGTCCCCAGGCACCTCATCCTGAAATGAACAGTCACCAGGAGCTCCTTTAAAGCAACTCTCGGAAGTCACATGCTGCGGGCCATTACATGAATCCCAGGTATGGAATGGTTGCAGGTTCACAACATGAAAGATACCTGCGTCTCCCCCCGTTCTCACATCCGTGAGCCTATAGTTCACATCTGATGGTTTCTGTCTGACACGATACGGTCCTGTATACAAAGGTGCCAGCTTGGCTCTGAAGCTTGCCAGGGCATCAGTTCGGGGATGTGTCCTTACTCTAACCAGGTCATTCACACAGTAAGAGACAGAACGACGTTTTACGATCATAATAATGTTTTTTTTTAGCATGGCTACAATCCAGGACAGCCCTCACATGATCGTGTGCTTCCTGAATTGATTACGTCAGGCTTTCAGGATAAGGAATACCTGACTCACCAAAACCATCAGAGTTTGGCTGTGTAATGAGATCGAGAGGCGTATCCAATTCCCGTCCATACAACAACATTGAAGGGCTTTGGCCTGTACTCTCATGTGAGGCGGTTCTCAGAGCAAAACAAATTTGCGGAAGATAACGGTCCCAAACGGTGTGTTTGTTGCCGATGTAGGCACGAATGGCAGTCTTCAAGGTGCGATTCACCCTCTCTGTTGCATTAGTTTGGGGGTACGCAGTCATGAGTCTGTGTTCAGAGCCCAATGCAGAGAGTACATCTTTGAAAAGTTCAGTAACAAAAGGGGACCCTCTGTCCGAAATCAGGTATGTAGGGGCACCATGTCGTGGAAAAACCTCACTGAGCAGCTTGCTTGCTGCTACCTGTGCAGTTGCTTCTCTCATTGCGCTGACTTCTACCCACTTTGAAAAATAATCCACAAAAACAAGGATATAAGCGTTTCCGCAAGATATGCGAGGTAAAGGCCCTACAAAGTCAACTCCAGTGTACTCCCAGGGTCTTTGGGGGCAAATCGGTATCATAAACCCAGCAGGTTTCCTTTGGCTAGGTTGTGAACTGACAAACAGAGCAAGAGATTACATACTTTTTGGCCTCCGACGACATTTTTGGCCAGAAAAATCTGTGTTTTAGTATTGCCACAGTTTTTGTCGTCCCCAAATGTCCAGCGGTTGGGTGATCATGGTAATATTCCAGCAAAGATCGTCTGATGGCAGTAGGAGCATAAAGCTTAAGCTGCTTCAGAGGGTGAAGGCTGCAAGACACTTTGCCATCTTTGAAGTACAGAAGATCATCATGCATTGTATATTGTGACAGCTCTCCTTTGTCACTCTCCTCTTGCCCCTCAAGCGTGCGTATAAGTCCCCCTGTAACCGGGTCATTGAGTTGCAGCTGTCTTATGTGCACATGATCTGAAAAGATCACAGGAGGCAAGGCACGCAGATCAAGGCCCCCTATAACAGCGTACTCAGGCAGAATGTCCATGGGTGTGTTACAAAAAGGCATGGGGTTTCGAGACAGGGCATCGGGAACTTTATTACTCACCCCTGGCTTATGGACAATGTTAAAATCAAAATCTTGTAAGCGGAGGGAGCCTGCCTGTGAGATTTGGGCGGGACATTAACCATTTTAGACTGCTGTGGTCCGAGACAACGGTCACATGAAGACCCTCAACATACGGTCTGAAGTGTTCTAGGGCCCAGATGACAGCCAAACACTCCTTTTCTGGAGTAGAATAAGGCTTTTCAGATTTTTGCAGTGCACGGCTCACATTGGCCACCACAACCTCTCTGCCATCCTTGCCCTTTTGCATAAGGGCGGCACCAAGTCCGACATCACACGCATTAGCGTGAACAAAAAAAGGAAGGGAAAAGTCCGGAAATCTCAAGACAGGTGCAGAAGTCAGCTTGTCTTTAAGGTAGTCCATGGCCCCCTGACATGCATCTGTCCACACGAACAGAACATCTGCCCTGGTAAGTGCGAACAGTGGCTCTGCGTGGCGAGCATAGTCATGGATAAAACGTCTGTAATAACTTGTCAGTCCTAAAAACTGTCTGACTTGTTTGACGTTGACTGGTACTGCAAACTCTGTGACTGCTCTCACCTTGTCCTTGTTTGGCAGGATGCCCTCTGCAGTGATGTTATAACCAAGGAAGGTAAGTTCGCCTCTGCAGAACTCACACTTTGCTAGCTTTATAGATAGTCCTGCTGACTCCAGTCAGGTGAGAACATCCTTAAGGTCGACAAGGTGCTGTTCAAATGTGGGTGAGGCCACGACAATATCATCCAGATATACGGCACAAGACTTATATATGAGCACTGCAAGGACGGTATTCATGAGTCTCTGGAAGGTGGCTGGCACGTTGCACAGTCCAAAGGGTAGGACACGGAATTGAAATAGCCCACAGTGGGAAATGAAGGCAGTCTTGGGCCTTGAGTCCTCTGCGACATCCACCTGCCAGTAACCTTTGGCCAAGTCAAACGTGGAGATATAAGTCCCCCTGGCCAGGAAGTCAAGAGACTCATCAATTCTTGGGAGTGAGTATAAGTCCTTCACCGTGAATTTGTTCAGGCCACAATAATCATTGCAAAATCTTGGCTCTCCTGATGGTTTTTGCACAATCACCACAGGAGCAGCCCATGGGCCTGAAGCAGGTTCAATTATGCCATCCTTTAACATTTCTCGAATTTGTCCTTCTATCAACTCCTTTTTTGCTAGAGAAGAGCAGTAAGGAGCGAGATGGATAGGTTTTGCAGTACCCGTTTCGATCCTATGTTCGACCATAGATGTGTGGCCCAAATGTCCATCAAACAAAACATTGAAGGTCTCCAGTAATTCAGCCAGCTGCCTTTTTTGGTGATCATTTAGAGAAGCCCCTGCTATTTTTTCATCTAAAGCGGAAGATTCAACCCCCAAAATGCCACACTGTGGTCAGGTACTGCCAGATCCACACCCTCTAGCTCCTCTATGAGCATAGGTTCCTCATCAAGCACCACAGTTCTGGACGGAACATGAATTGTTACTGAAGCTCTCAGCATAAAGTCCATTCCCAAAACAAGGGGGAGTAGAAAGCCCTGAAATAACAGCAAACCGATGATTAACCTGAAGCCCCTGAAGATTAACTTTGACTTTAAACGGAGTATTCCAGAAAGATGTAGATGTAACATCTTCCATGTGACCCAAAGTTGGCTGATTGGTCACAAATGAACAAGATAACAAGATAAGCGTATATATCTTCTGGAGGGAGGATTGCCTCTTCGAAACTTCCTCCCCCCCCTGAAGTTTCCCGCCTGGCCATTGTCAGAATTCAGTACGTCCTCACCGTCAATCCAGCCATGGCCACCCAACTGGCCCGAACTTAGTGCACTATTGCTGGTGTCGGCCTGTTGATTAGGTTTGACAATTGCAAATCTTGCTCCACCCCAGAACTACAGTTAGGACAAGTGCGAGTGATGTACCCTGGTAGTAAGCATTTGAAGCATTGGACGATACTCACAGGTTTACCGATAGACTGTGCCAGGGGTAAACTCTGTCCACTTGGGCCAAGAACTGCATGAAGCTCATAGGCGCAAAATAAGCTCCATGACTGATGGTATAGGCGTGCCATAAAGTGCAACCCTGTACTTCTCACGCACATGCTTACATGTCAAGTCTATTTGTTTCTGCTGTGGTGGAGGAGTTTTTAGTTTACGGAACTCAGCATATGAGCAACAAAAGTTGGTAGTGGTTCATCAGGCATTTGCACGCAGTCCATAATGCTTCTCATTATCCGTTCTTGGTTATCTGAAGGCAGAAAAAACATTCTGAAAAATTCACAGAACTGATCCCATGTGGTTACATGTGTACTAAGAGTATTGAACCATTTCCTTGGTTCCTTTGACAAGAAACGCGGAAGTTCACATTGACAGGTACTGACCTTAAGTCTTGCAAAGGAGCCTGGGCCCGGTTGTATGGCGTGGAGCTAGCCAAGGGGGAAAGTTGTGTCACAACAGGTACAGAGCATTAATTTGTTCCCAAGCACTCCAGCATGTTCTTTTGCAGGTCAAGTGAGTCGCAGAGGCACTGTTGTAGCATCGCCACTTCTGCTTGTAAAAGTTGAACTTGAGCTCTTAAGCCCCTGACAGTATGCTGTGACTCTCTCTGTCTCTGCATTTTCGTCTGTGTCTGAAGACAGGTCAGAAAGGTCCATTTGAAAGTCAGGGTGAGTAGCCATATCAGGTATAATAAACCAGCATAAACAATATATGGGAGACAAACAGCAAAATTCAGGAATTACAAATCAAAAAGTATCTATCAAAACACTTTTTTTCCACTCACCAAATGAAGAGAAACCGAAGCAGTTCTGTAAAATATTCAGTAAAAAAACATTCACTGTACTTTTTTCCTGTAAATAAAATTATCTCCCCTAATCACACACCCTAATTTAACACATTCCAATCATCTAGGAACATTTCAATAAAGCACAAATGACTTTCAAACAAGTTAGATTACACTTTTACCCAACCAAGTTTTCTTATCAGGGGGTGAGCTCAGCTGCACTTGTCCAGTCAACGTGAGGTTGAGCCAAAAACTTTTTTCTTTTACTTTAACTTTTTTAAACTTTTTTTTTTACTTTTTAACTTTAACTTTTTCTTCCTTTACTCCATACAAATGTCTTTTGTTTTTCTTTTTAAAGACCACGATTGTGGCGCAACTGTCCAGCCAACATGAGCAAAACGTCCTGATATCAAAAAAACATTGTTCAGTTGAGCAAAAAAAAATTTTTTTTACATGTCCAGAAGTTCAATAATTGTATCTCACCGATCAATATTCCAGTCAATCCTTGATCACCGCATCCGCAAACAGACGAAAAAGTCTTTAATCTCAATGGAGAATCCAGAACGAGACGACCGCATGGTCCGCACGATTAGCAAGCTATTCAGCCAATGTCTGTGCTTCGGGTGAATCACACAATACTCAGCTCCAATAAAAGTGCAACATGCGTGTGATCAGATTTACCGATGACAGGTGTAGATCCAGATGTTCGGGTGCCAATTTGTAACGTCGACCAGAGTGTTTTAGGATTTGCCCAGATGTCAGGAATAAAAGAAGGAAAAGAATACTCATAGACGAGAGAGTTGGTGATCCCATTCATCTTTATACGTAGCTTCAAATGATCCTCGCACTATCCGCATACATGGAGGAGAGTGGGGAGAAAATTACAAGACACACTTTGGCAGAATTACAAATAAAAATAATAAAAGAATCAGGATGCTTTCTGGAGCAGAGTATAGTAGAACAGTCCGCTATATCACCAGCGCAAACGTTACACAGGCACACCCACCTAGACAACGCATGACATCACAGGAGGTGCCTTAAAGGTACATAACAAATTAGGTAGCCGTTACACATGTCGTGGTCTGCTTGATCTATGCTTGAGCTCCATTCGTCGCTCAAACTAGATATATACTGTGTATCAGAGTCAGCTGATGCGAGCTTGACCAATGTGACCTGCCAGAATTAACGCTACACTAGATATATATATATGCATACTTACAGTATAGTAAACAGTATACTATTTAGTATATATATATATATATATATATATACAGTATATATATATATTTACTATACTGTAAGTATGCATATATATATATCTAGTGTAGCGTTAATTCTGGCAGGTCACATTGGTCAAGCTCGCATCAGCTGACTCTGATACACAGTATATATCTAGTTTGAGCGACGAATGGTAACATACTTTCCAGAAGGCCAACAATTCACTAAAAAATTGTATTGGTCTTATGAAGTATTCTAATTTTCTGAGATAGTGAATTGGTGGGTTTTTGTTAAATGTGAGCCAAAATCATCACAATTAAAAGAACCAAAGACTTAAACTGCTTCAGTCTGTGTGCATTGAATTTATTTAATACACGAGTTTCACAATTTGAGTTGAATTACTGAAATAAATTAACTTTTCCACAACATTCTAATTTATTGAGATGCACCTGTATACATGAAATATTAATTATTTCAGCAAAATAAGAGGGATCATACAAAATGCATGTTTTTACAGAAGGTTCAAACGCTCACTGATGCTCCAGAAGGAAAATGTAACTGTCTTCTGTAGACTCTGAAGGGCAGTACTAAATGAAAAAATATGATATTTAGGCAAAATAAGAAAAATTTACACATCTCCATTCTGTTCAAAGGTCCCCCCCCCCCGGCTCTTAAAGGGTTAGTTCACCCAAAAATGAAAATTAACCTGTTTTACTCACCCTTGAAGCATCCTAGATGTACATGACTTTCATCTTTCAACCGAATCCAGTGAGAGTTATATTAAAAATTGTCCTGGCTATTCCAAGCTCTATCATTGCAGTCAGCGGGTGTTGCAGTTAAACAGTCCACAAAACGTGCCTCACACGGCTCCGGCGGTTGCCGTGTGAGGACCCTCCCTGGCGTATCTCCCTGAGACAGGACCTGCTCTCTCAGGGGCTCGGCACCATTTGGCACCCGCGTCCTGAACTTTGGAACCTCCACGTGTGGCTTCTGGACAGGACGTGGCAGACTTAGCTGATCTGTCACCTGCGGTGGTCAACACTAATCTCATCGTCAGGTTCCTGAGGGGTGCCAGAAGGTTAAATCCTCCTAGGCCACCCCTGGTGCCCTCCTGGGACCTCTCTATCGGGACTTCAGAGGGGTCCCTTTGAGCTGCTGGATTCAGTCGAGCTTAAGTTCCTGTCTACTCCTGACCACGCTCACTTCCATCAAGAGGGTTGGGGACCTCCAAGCATTTTCGGTGAGCAAAGAGTGCCTTGTGTTCGGGTCGGCCTACTCTCACGTGGTCCTGAGACCCCGGCCTGGATACGTGCCTGAGGTTCCCACCACTCCCTTCCGAGATCAGGTGGTGAACCTGCAAGCACTGCCCTCAGAGGAGGCAAATCCAGCCCTTACATTGCTGTGTCCCGTAAAAGCACTGCGCATATACGTGGACTGTACCTGGAGCTTTAGAAGCTCTAAACAGCTCTTTGTCTGCTACGGAGGTCAGCAGAAAGGGAAGGCTGTCTCCAAGCAGAGGTTCAAACGTATACCATACCATGTTCAATCTGCACCAAACTTCATATGTTTGATAAAAGTGCTAGCTTGAAGACATCTACATGCCAATATCGAGTTATAGTCATCGCACCACCAGCTGGCAGCAGGAAGTTTGGCACATATACATGACTTTGACATATTACTCCTATATTTAACACTTTAAATACATATTGCTCACCGTTCACTGTTTTCCTTAAGCCACTGGGTGGTGATGAGCTCGGGTGCAAGGGCCCTTTCAACGCTGCTTGCAGCTTTAATGATGGCTGTTGCTGTTGTTTATTAAATATTATTATTCAAAAAATACTATTTTATATAAATAATATATTTAATAAGTATTTAGTATTTAGTATTAAGTATTTAGTATTGTAGTTACATTGTTTCGCCATTAGATGGTGACAAGAGACTGTTTTTATGAGTGAGTCAGCAGTAAAGACTTTTACATTGAAAAGTTATAAAGGCTATAAACGAAAGTTATTTTTAGTTTCAACAACAGCTTGACACAGTGCACAAATGCACTGAGCAGCAAAATCACCGATTAACAGATTAAAGGAATTATATTAACATTACAACAAAGAACGCTGTCCTCAGCAGACATTCAAACTTATGTTTATTGTGGATACGAGACTGAGCTGAAGAATGAATGTTGTATCAGATGCAGGTACTCACACTTGCTCTCTCTCTCATAATACTCTACATAATACAGTGAGCTTTTACTGCAGTAATGCAATTAGCTTTCAATGAAGCAACTCAACGTTCCTTTGTTACTAGTTCTAAAGTGACGTTTTGGAATTAGTAACGGAGGCTTGTGCTCAGCTGTTAAACTGACAAACTGAGATTTGAATTCACAGTGGAAGTAGTTCTGCACAAAAGAGGGATTTAAAAGACACTCTGTTGTTGTTTCTTATGTAATTGCACACTTGTGCAGTTTATATAAAGCACTTTGAATTACTATTATGTTCAATTTAACCACTAAGCAGATTATAAATAATGGACAAAATTTATAAATATCTGAAAATTAAGTTTAGTGTATGGCAAAACATTTCTTGTTAAACCAACCTCTGGTATGAGTGTTACATGTTACTCTTTCAGGAAGGAATGTATTTGTGCACATTCACCTGAATGCAATTGCCTGGATCTTTTTTAGTCCACTCAGCTGGACAGCTGAGAGGCTGTGTTGTTGGGGGCACTTGAGTGGTAGTAACACCCTCTGCCATTTTTTTACAGATGTATTTCTGTTTACTGTTACAGTCCAGTACATCCCATAATCCTGCTGAAGTTCCTGTTAACATGGCAACACAACCTCTGTGTCTTTCTACAAAGTGAAAAGACAAAAGAACAAAAATTAGATTTGGATTCAGGTAGATTCAGACATGATTTCATGTTACACAATCAAAGCATTATACCTACTATTTACAATTCAAAAATTAAATAAAAACTGTTATTACTAATCAACATACCTGGCATGCCAACATTAAAGTGTGTAAATTTGACTTTATCACCATTACTCCACTGGAAATGCTCAAGTCGTTCAGTATTAGTTAGGCCAATCCAGAAATACTTCTCAGGCCTAAGACCGACCAAGCTAATGAGAAAAGCATTCTCATACCTAATTAAAGACACAGCATTTAAGAATGTTATATAAATGTATGCATACAAACAGTAATTAAAAGTGTTTACTAAAGTAAACAAAGACGAATATAATAATGCCACATGAACAGAGATTATTTGCATTGTGCACAATTTAAGTAGTCTAGAAATATCCTTAATATAGAAAAACAGGAATGCATTCAATCCAAAAAGTGATTCAAAACAAACAAATTCAAGCAAAGGAAGAAGAAAAAAAAACAGACACTAAACAAATAATGTTCTGAACTGCTCAATAAATCACTGACAATTGCATATCTATAATGAATAGCAGGGTACAGCAGGGCTAAAGGTGCACCCAGGTAAAATATTATAGATTTCATTTATAATATATATCCCATAAATAATTTCCTGGAATTCACTAACAATCTCTTGTTTTTGTCCCCAAATTTTCAAGTCTTTTTCCAGGTTCACTTCTTTTATCTCTAATAGCAGTGTTTACTGTAATGTTTCCAAAGCAGGTAAATACAAAATATTTTTAAATTAAACAACCCATTTTTATGATTTATTTGCCCACATGTGTTGCTGCTCTATCAATGTGTCATAAAAATATATCTATATTTTCTGCAGTCAAACACTATGGGAGTAGTGAAAAACTATTTTTTTCTATGAGGTGTACCTTTAGTTCAGTTGTACCCTATATGATTACCTACAAATATAATCTGCATTACCTGTTGGCAACATCAACCAAACGAGCTCCTGTCTGCTCACATTTCAGTTTGGCCTCATTAAAAGACTTGCTTTCCATGGCAATATTATAACAGTAAGAGCTGTACCTAACCCAACCCTATGGGAGCCAGACAGATATGACTTAATCACAGTGACAATTCCTCATACATCTTTTACAATTATAAATAAAGATTGTTTGGGTATTTTTGAAACAGACTGTGGATTTAAATTAAATTATTAATAATTTTGATAATTAATCGCATATGCTGAGGTCCTGACTTGTGATAAAGTAATGAAATGACAATGTAGTTCATGTATTTAAGATGTCATGCTATTTAAGATAGCAGAAGACTGAAGCACATACCCAAATAATGATGGAAGGATGGATGGACAGATGGATTGATTGATTGATTCATATATTTTTGATATTTTATTTTATTTTTTGTTTATAAAAAATTAAAACATGGAGTATAATGTACAGTAGACTCACAGCTTGGCATCCAGGACTGACAATCTCTGGGGTGCCATTAGGCTTGCTAGATGATTTCCTTTTGCAAATATAGCCACGCTCCATCTCACACATATGGTCTGCCCATCTACCTTCCTATTACAGAGGCAAAAAACAAAATTTCAGCTATGCAATACCCAACAGCTATATATATATATATATATATATATACAGGCCACGTTCGCACAGCAGCAGAATACAGTTGTCAGTCCTGTATCTGAGTCCTTAATACGGTTATGTTCACACACATTCTGTAACCAAACTCACACCCGTAAATTTTCAGGACTCACAACTGCATTCTTTGGACTGGACAACTAGGGCTACGTTCACACTGTCAGTTTTTGGGATTGAAAACCACATTTACTTACAGGTGTGAGTCTTGAAATGTCCCATTCACACAGCAGCTTACAGTAGGGTCTTGAATGAGTCAAGCCCGTAGCAACAGTGACCAAAGTAATATCAAAGATGTCGATGTCTATAAAACTGAAAGACTTATCACTTTTTGACACAACAAGAATCCAAATGAGCCAGGAGTTCATCCATCAAACCCTTATTAACCGACAGCAGCTTCTATATTTGGGTGTAGAGCGGAGCATTTGAGTCGTGCGCAGAACACAAATCTGATGGGAGCGGCTCCAGTGGAGACTGGATACAAACATTTCAGATGACACACAGCTCATTTCTCTGTCAATGTAAGTTAATGAAACCACACATGAAAACACGCAGCACATGGTAGATACGGAGCATTTGTGCAGAAGACCACTGTATGACGTGATGAATGCGGTTGTGAGTCCTGTAAACAAACAGTATTCGAGACCCTACTGTAAGTTGCTGTGTGAAATGGGACATTTCACACCTGTAAGTAAATGTGTTTGCCAATCCCAAAAACTGACAGTGTAAACGTGGCCATATGACAATCAAAACTTTACATACGACATATGATTTCTGATGCAGTGGTGTGCACAGAGATGAATAATATAATGAATATCAATACGTTTCTACCATTGCCACTAACGACAATAAAATATACAAAATATAACATTAACAAACGTGTGAAAAAAAAAGTTCAAAGGTGCTTAATTAACAACAATAAAAGATACAAAATAAAACATTACAAACATTTTGGTGGAAGGCAGAGGTTGACTACAGTGCTATGCAGCACTCTCTTTAATGACAGGATTAGACTATTTTTGTTTTTTTTGTTTTTGTTTTATTTCTTATGTTTCCTCTCTGTTTGCCTGGTTCCTGTTTTCCCTTCTAGTTAGTTTCTATGGCTTCTAATTAGTCCCACACCTATTTCTGTTCTCTGTGATTGCTTTCCTTATATTTCCTGTATTTAAACCCCGAGTTTCCTAAATTCTATTGTCTGTTCTCATCTGTTTTACGTGATCGTATTTCCCTACTGTTCCATTTGAACTGACTTATTTAAGGACTGTTTGTAGTACTCCATCATTGTGCACTTTATTACAGCCACCAAACTGTGACACTTTTATGTTAGTATTTGTGAGTATTCGTTTATCGAATAATTGTGAGTATTTATGAGCCACAGTTACAGGGGTTAAAGCAAAAAAATATATATTTTGACTGAAAATTATTCCTCGGCTAAACCCCATTCCACAGCCATACCCAGGGGCGGATTGGCCATCTGGCAATTCTGGCAAATGCCAGAGGGGCCGGACCATTTTGTTTAATGTGGGCCGGTCAGATTTTTTCTAAATATATATAAATAAAATTGTTTTTACGGGCCAACAGCGCATAGGATGGATTTTTATCGCTTGCACGATTCCTCTATGGTTATAATAATAATAATGTTAATAATAAATAAATGTTAAGCATTTGGCCCAGTCAGCAACGGCCGGCCGCCTGGTCCCGATATGGGCCGACAGAACCGTTCAGTCAAAATCAAGCACGTCATCAGAAAGAGTGCAACACAAGCTAATTTTCAGTGAAAGCTAGATAATGGACCGTAAAAAAGGAAAGGCGGTACAGAAAAACTTTAAGAAAGGAAAAAAAGGGCCTAAGTCCGACACTGCTAAATGCGTAAAATTAACCAAACTCTTTTCAAAAGGTTTAAATTCCGCTGCTGCAGCGAGGAAAGTTAGTGCCGCAGAGGTAAGAAGAAAACAAAAAATACAGCTAGCACAAGTCATTTTCACACTACTTCTGCCAGTTAGCTCGTGTTTTTTTTTGACAGTAGCCTACATTGTATTAAACAGTTGTAAGCTTAGCGTAGAACCCCAGTATATTTTAAAATGACATTGCTTCGTGATAATTGGTTAACTTAAGTGTTAATGAGCCTGTTACTGAGTTGAATGACTGAAATATCAGCAGATAAAGTGGGATTTAGGGTAAAAACTGATGTAGGCTACTTGCAATATAGTCTAACACATCACAAACCTATAGCAATAGCCATAGTACTGTAGACATTTGTAGTGAACTTTACATTGAATATGTAGAAATAAAACACTGAGCACACATACAGTACATAAGTTTACAGTATGCAATTATTCCTTAGGTAGGGTGGACTGCAGAGTCAAGTGTCATGGAGGTAGAGACACACCCTGATACAGATGCTGCCAGTTTCTTAATAATGTGGCTCTAATTAACTATTAATTAACTCTTAGGATAGGAGCCTGTGCCTGTGTCTCACACACACACACAGAGAGAGAGAGAGATCACACTCACACAAATGCACATGCAGCACATACTAGCAACACTTCAGCATATTTTAATTCACAAATAATTGTATATCAAAAAGGATTTACTGCTGCTACTATTTATAGTTTTTGCTATATATTCTATTCCCTTTTTTGCTATTATTACTTGTTTGTATTCATGTGTATTCCAATGTTGAGAGCAGTCAGTGAGAAAATATTTTGCTCAGAAGTCCTATACTGTGTTCATTAACTAGGATGATGCTGGAATCAGTACAGCCAAAGACCACTGGTCTTTCAACACCAGTGCTGTGAGGAAGGATGCTACAGTAGGCCTAGCAGAGACAGGGAGGAGTGTGGTAGAGGTAGGAAAAACCCAACAGACAGACAGTGACAACAAAGAACAACATACTGTAGAGAATGACAGTAACAGCAGACAAATGGCATAAACAGACAGCGCACAGACTCTACAACATCCTCAGATTCTTTTTCTTTTGTTTTACTGTATGTGTAAATTTGTTATAAACGTGTGCTCTTTAAAAGGTAGTAAGCATTATTTGCCAGACACATACATTAAATGTTTAAATATCTGTTACATATATGGTACTGCTTATATTATTTCACCATCTGTACACATATGTAAGTAGTGAATGTGTGTGTGTGTGGGTGGGGCTGTGTCGGTGTGGTAATATGGGCCGGTGTGGCTACAGTGCCAGGGCTGAATTTTTGTCCCAGTCCGCCCCTGGCCATACCTCTGACACACCCAGTTTAAGAGCAGTTTTTTTCTTCTTCTTGTAATTAGGAGCGCTTGTCCTCCTAATTTAAAAAAAATGAGGAGTACCTTCTAATCAGTAATAAAAAATTCTGATCAAACATTAACCTTTCTAATACTAGGTGACATTTAACTCAAAGTGATTTACAGGGGCATCTCCTTCTTACCTTTGTAAATGCATTTTTCTAATTTTATTAAAATGTATGCAGTGTTTCCTCTAGGATTTTTTTACAGCTGTGGTGGCAGGACTATTTCCCATTGACCATGCCCCCTCCCCACCCAAGAATCACGTGCACTCAGAATTGAATTTATTTTAACTAAAAAAGTCAAGTAAATAGTAAATAATAAAATAAGAACAAATAAATGAATAGCAATCAATAGCACAAACAAAAACAATAATAAGATACAAATTAAATTAACAGTACTTTAATTTTTTTTCAGTTAGGTCTAACTATAATCTATTCAACGGTAAAATAACACTGGATAGTCTTCACTGTATAATGAAAGACAGCAGCAGGTTTATTTAGGCTGCTGTCTCTTTAAGACCTCATGCATGGATCTAATATACTGTTACACATGGCTCTAGGTTTACTTTTCTTTTTAGGACCACTTGTCCTCCTAATTTAAAAATATTAGGAGCACCTTCTGATCAATAATCAAAAATTCTGATAAAAAAATTTGCCTTCCTAATACGAGGTGACATTTGACTCTTTAAAGTGACTTACAGGGGTATTTTCTTTTTACCTTTGTAATGGCATCATTTTCATCTATGTCAAATTCAAAAATGTATGTTTATAAGCTTTTTAAAAGTTATATTTAAAACAATATAATAAGAAGTAGAATAAGACGAATAAGTTACCAATCATATGAAATTAGTATTAATAAAAATAGTGCTGTCAAATGATTAATCGCGATTAATCACATTCAAAATAAAAGTTTTTGTTCATATAATGTATGTGTGTATACTGTATATATTTATTATGTATATATAAATACAAACATATGCATGTATATATTTAAGAAAAATACATTGTGTTTATATATTAAAGGGGTCATATGATGCTATTTTAAAGATCATTATTTAGAATATGTTGACATGCTTTAATGTTAAAAAAACACATTATTTTTCAAATACTGTACATTATTGTAGGTCCTCTATGCCCCGCCTCTCTCAAACACGTAGTTTTCAACAAAGCCCCCTCCTTTGACAAGCGCAGTCTGCTCTGATTGGCCAGCTGACCCAGTGCATTGTGATTTGCCGAACACCACAAGCACGCGTCGGATATGTAATGCCCCTCACCATAATCGCGAAATAATGTCATTAGTTTTACCATCAGTTCAAGCCCGAAAGGGCAACAGAGTCGCGTGACAGACACAGTGATGATGTAGTACACAAGCTGTGGTTAAGACAGCTGACGTGCTATGATTTCTGACAGGCAGTTCACTCTCCTGTGATGTGACCCTGTTCCCCTCACACACACACACACGACACGTTACTCTGCGCTGTGCAAAACTCCGCATTTGAACAGTCAATAGCAAATACTTAAACTAATAACAAAACATACTTACAGTCGCTGATTCAGAAGCGCTAGATTGTCATAGCAAAGTCGTAATTGACCCTTTTTTGTTTTTAGAAATAGCCTTTGTGCACAGCCAGCCTTGTACTCTTC